GAATAAACTAGTTTTAATTAAGAAAGTACTTGTATCGCTGAAGTTCCTCGGAAATAATTTATACCAGAAATTATCAAACAAGCAGATACGTGACACTATATATTTACCACATGAAAAGGTTGCCATTAGAAACAGGAGATTGTTTTCGACAAATTAATAAGAACTTCTGATTAAAGTAGGCTAACCAAATATATTAGAAGTAAAAAGATACTTGGAAATTAATTAAATCAGTTCCATATAACAAACTTATCAAAAGTGACAAAAAGTCAAAGAATAGAAAAAAATCAATAAAATGCATTAAATCATAAATTTATTGCCATCGTTTAAACGATAATTTCAACTATAATCCTAGTAAAACCTCTTTATATTTGTCTAGCTTAGAATATTTAGGTTAAATTTAAAATAAATTCATATTAAAAATGACAATGCAAAATCGCTTTCATAAGTGTAAAAACTGCTTTTAAAAGTATTTTAAAATGTAAACCCCCAAAAAATGTCGTGAAAGTAACTATAAGAGAATATGGAATACGTCATTACTTACACACACACAGAGGCTACATTGTTAGTATTCTCGAGGATTGGGCGCCCCTTAACATGCACCTTGAGCTAGGAAGATTTTATTCAGCTTCAAGACGTGGTGCTCCTTTCCGAGGCCTTCACCTAAATCAATGGTGGTGGCAGCAATGTAGTCTGTTGGGTGTGCTGAAGACTGGACTCTTTCATTATCGTGGTTGGACTTACTGCAGCTTGTATCTTCTCCACTCTCAAAGGTAGTCGTGTAGTCTTTGAGAATTGCTGAGCCAACCCAGCCATTGAGATGCAGTGAGCTTTCCAATGTTGGATGTTTTGATTTATCTCCTGTGTGACTTCCATAACCATATTAAATGTCTATATTTCAGTTTGGAGGTTCTATCATTCTATTCATCCCATATACTCATGTAGTCCACTGTTCCTGGGCTTGATCTAGATGGCATTGGATGGTTTTCCTCAGAATGTTATTTTACCTGCACATGAAAAAATATCTGATAGGCTATGCAGTACATCTATTCCGAGAATGCCTATTCTGGGTCCATAGCCAGTAAAAACTAATTACACCTTGAGGTGGCACCTCTTAAATGAAGCTGTAGATCTATTTCTAATCTAACATCCAGCTTATTATCATTTCCCAGAATGAAACATGAAGGACTTGGAAGAGCAGGAGTTACACTAGGGTTATTGCTCAACTTCTCATCCTTGCATCTCATTCTTACAGAGTTGGGAAGAACCCTAGATTCTTTGGTGTAACTGATGATTTCACCAAACTAGTGACCAACCTCTACTTGGATTTCATTACTTTCATAGGACATTAATCATAGCATCCACTGATTGTTACTGGTTGTGTCTGACCTACTGATCCAATGGGTGGTACCAAGAACTTTATCTATTTTCGTGTTTGGCAAATTGAGGATGATGAAGATTGGTAGGAACCTATTGAGCCATTGGATGGAGCTGGTAGTCATGCCATTATTGTGGTATCACAGGGTATGTTCAGTTCTTCTGCTAATGTCACATATGTCCTCAAACAAAGCAGTTTTCCTTTTATTACCTTAAATGATGTCCAGGCAAAGGCATAGGCTGCAGTTGTGGGGAGTATACTATTGGAAGTTTTCGTGTTTTCATATTTACACCATGAGAGGGTCTACATAGTCTTTCCTACGTACTAGAATCCACGGTGGTTGCCTCACATTCCCGTTTTATGGAGACAGCTTGTTAACATCTACACAGTTGGGTTTGGCCTACTGTGTTGGAGATACCTGTGTCACATCATTCACTGATGGAGTTTTCACTGAAGTAGCTGGTATGGGCTTTCTCCTTTCTAGCAGCCAGTTTGATATTATCACTTCAAAATGTGTCACAAAGAGTATAGCCTCAGTGAAGGCAAAGATGTTTCTCACCCCTAGATTCTACCACATATGTTCTCTGGAGACCCCCTCAAAGAAATTAACTACCAGGATGTTCTGCCTATTTGTTGAGGCCATTATCAGGCATGCTTTCTTGTGCAATCAGTGCAGATTGTCTCCATAGGTAGCCAGTCTCTCAGTGGTACTCCTCTTTTGAACCTTAATCTTGGCCTGGTAAATTCCCATATAGTTTGTCAGGTCGACTCAAAGGTGCAGCTTATTTACAATGGTGTGCATACAGTGTTTTCCTGTTTTAGTTAAGATAAAGATTTTGGCTTATTCTTTCGAAATTTTCATCCCCAAAATCCTTGTATAATTCCTGGATAAACTCTGCCATTATTAGGGAATATTGTATCTTACACTTATTTGAAAATTGTTTTTAGATGTAAGTACCATAAGTAGATAGAAAGAGTAAAATTTGGTTCTGTGACACCAGGATATTATGAGATTTTCTTATGATGAGATATTGCATGTGCATAGCTCAACTCAGTCCTTTGCTAATAAAGTAAACTTCCATAGAGAGAATGGTTTTCTCCAAGTTTGAAAGTACTTACAGGCAAAAGAGAGAGATCCCATTCAGAAAGAGAGATAGTTTAATAGGAGAGATGTCAGGTCTAGGAGGAGTCACCACTTCGAAATAAGACATTCACTGTTACTTCAGAAGTAAATGAGATCATCCAGACTTCAACTGCTGATTCATTACCCTACAGTCATGGACCATAGAGTAACCATCTATTGGGGTGGTGAAGTAGCAGTGTATAGTCTCCAAAAAAAGAGTGCAGGACACCTCAATACCTACTCCTGGTGTCAACGAGGGTCAGTGCAAAAGAAATGAGTTTGGCCCTGCTCAGAGGGTCCAGTATGTGTTTGATTCACCCAGACAATGTAAGTAAACTGTGCACCCTGAGAATTGATGTCGGTGACCAAGAAGCATGGACAACTGATGTCCACCAGAATGGTAAAGTGTCTGTAGAGTTTATACCACCTTGGGAGGTCTCTATCGAATTCTAAATCTGTTGCCAGTCAGAGCACAACAACCTTGGATCTACTTAAAAGTACTGGTGACTAATGAACAGAAGGTAGATGTGCTGCTGACAGCTGAATTCTGCCAATAAGAGTTGTCTCCCTAACAGGTGAGGTAAGAGGAACACATAGATGATGACCTTGACCCATGTCCCAAGGGAAATGGAGATAATCTACACTTCAATCGACAAAAGTCCCCAAAACTAACAGTTAGCAGAGTTGTACAGTGAACCACCATGGGAAACACATTACCATGCAACCACAGGCCATAAAGCAATCACCTGTTGAATGGTGGAGTATCAGTATAAACGTAGTCTTAAAGAAGAGCTGAGAATATTAGTAATGCCTCCTTTTGGCATCTACTATGGTCAGCAAAAAATAGAGAAGCTGTGGCTCAGCACAAAGGATTTGGCAAATGAAGGTAGGCAGATCGTGCATCCGACCTTTAATGGGAAAGCAAAAAATGACCTAAGATATTCCAAGCAATTCACAGCTTGAAATGGGTGGAATCCAGAGCAGGCCATTCAATGCTTGGTCCTGAATCTGGATGGTTCTTCTTTGATGCTTTTGACCACTTGGATGAACTGAAGCTAAATGAATAAGCGACTAATGATATTCAGAAATCTGTGTTTACTTGACTACATTTAAAAGTTATAACAGTATATACAGGTAAGTAATATCTTCTAGTTACAATACTATATACTGAGCCTGCCTGCCTAGCTACAGAGAAGACTTATCTTTCGCTAGAATATATTGATCTTTAGTGTCACAGTGTTCTAATTCGCAAGAAGAAAACTAAGATACTAAACACGTGCAGAGAATCTGTTGACTCGTTCTTTGTAGGATTTATATAAGTTTTATTTCCTGAAGTATCATGTAAGTATGAACTTTTCCTCTAGGTGGTTGCCAGAATCTGCTCATTGGATGTTAGTTAACAAGCAAACTGCACGATTACTACATACACTTGAGAATGTGGCAAAAGTGAATGGAAAAAGTGTGACAAAAGAAAGTTTACTAGAAACTATTGAGGTATGTTCCTTACACTTTTCAACAAGTATTTGTTCACTCTTCTCTATTGTTAATCTTACTTGAAGTGCATTTATTTTACCTTTATACTTAACCCCTTACTGCAAGACCACACTTTTTAAACTCCATTATGCAAATGTCACGAGGTTTTACTAGGTTACGTTCAAAAGTTAGTTAAACCACTTTACTATCAATATATTCTAATGAAATTAGCTTCAATATGTACATTTCAATTCAAAGTTTAAATATATGAAAATGCATAAATTTCAGTTTTGTTGTCACGTGATGCACAAGAAAACATAAATCTTAAGGTTTGTTCTCTAGCACTTGAATGATAGTTTTATGTACAACGTACATGGATCTTTAGACTGAATCTACTTATACATAGCACTTATTAGTCGTTCATACTTCAAATTCCATCACCAGAGAAAAATATAATTTGCATATCCCTTTACAATAGCCACACTCACATTTTTATTTTTACATGTTATTTCAAGGAACATGTACTTATATGATTGGCCTGTTTATAAACAATAGTGCTCATTTGAAACTACAATTTCCTAGTTGGTATTTCAAAGCTAGCACTCAATATCCATTAACAAGTATGTCAAACTGCTGAAGTATTGTTTACTGATTTCGTTCTTGCTAGCATTCAGCGTTATCTCTCGTCTAGATACATAATAGTTAGATAGAACGGTTAAATTATATTTTGGTTTTACTTTTATATTTTAGTTAATTATCCATAATTTATGTTTAAAAATTCATATTTGAAAGGTTTAATAATTTTATAACTCAAACTACGCCTCCGTTCTCGAGGGACAAGTTACTACGCCAGTGCAAAAACATTTTCCCGAGGACTTGCGTATCTCTGCCAAAGATACTGTAATATGCCCCGAAGGCACCTGTTGGCGTGTGGCGAGTGAAAACAAGAAACCATAAAAGACAGAAAAGGAAAATAAAACATTAAAAATTAATTATAAGTGAAAAGGTAAAGACTTGAAATTACGAATATAAACAAAAGAAGATATTTTTAAATTATTTAATTTTTCTATTTCTTAATATTAGACATTTCATTGCACTGTACGTAGATGATAATAGCTACAGTTAGTGATATGATAGAGAAAATGAAACTTTATAACTTTACCTTAAAAAACTTGATATTAGTTTAAGAGGTTAGAGCGGTTATTCAAATAAAATTTGAAAATTGTAAGGAAAAAATAGTAATCATATATTTAACATGAAATTCACCTTGCACTTGAACTATTCAGAGTCTGAGTGCAGATAGCTACAATAAATAAAGAAGTTTTAGTAAAAAGACTAGAAAAAAATCCAAATTAAATATTTCATTTTTTTTACAACTAAATGTCATTAGGAAAGTTTCTCTCAAGTATGAAACCAATTCCATTTACTAGTTATATTTTTGAAATGGAAATAGATCACACTGAAAGAGTTAATTTTTCTATAATACCTTTCTTGACAAAATACTAATGTTACATATTCAAGTATGACAACAAGATCTCAAAAAGTAGAAAACATCATAATACTCTTTATGTTATATTAATTACAATCAATAACAAATCACCCATTATCAAATCACATTGCCTTCAAATGTACAGATGGTGTAATTATGGACAGAGAGCTATTGCACTTTCTGCTGGAATGGCTAGCAGCGTGATGGGTGAAAAGGAAGTGCCTAAAATTATCTGTACAATCACAACAAACCATAAAGTAAAAATATTGTTAACAGGACATCTGAGACTGCTACTCAAATATTTTTCAGATACTATTAAAGTAGGATAGGCTAAGTGGGCTAAGGCTTACTAACTTTCAATCATAGATAAATTAATGGAAAATTACATAGAATATCCTGAAACATTTGGACACGTCTCCACACATCATGCAATAAACATGCAAAGTTATTTGAACGTTGGGTGTAATATCATCCTCATACAATGTTTTAGCCAGATGTGTCATACAAACTGTAGGAGATTCTTGTAAAGTTTATAAGTCTTAATCTAACAAACTGGGATAAACAACACCAGTCAAATGAGTGATTTTGATGTGAATTGAACTCATAAAGATGTGATGTATTGTACATTGTCCAGTTTATATATGCCACAGTGTCCAAATAAATAGGTGGAATGGTTTACATCTGCATTCGTTGATTCATGCAAATTTGCATATTAACAAAAAGATAAAGCAGCATGTTGAATAGTATGCCATGATGAAGCAGAGGAGTTGTAGCCTAGAAACTTGGTTTTACTTTGGTGCTTGCTTGCAACGTAGAATAACCTTGGCTCTGTCTGGATTGGTCCTTATCTCATAACATGACTGCTCATTCTATCAAAGTAAAATCAGCATTTTGCAGATGACTTGTGAAAGTTAAGCCATATATCTATAACAAACTTTTTATGTACTGTCTGAAACAGAAACATGGGTGAAAAAGATTGCTGAGTCAGAAGAAAGCTAGAGCATTATATATATATGAATCTGTCTGGCTGAGGTTTAGTTATATACTTCGAGAACTTCTCTGACTTTTCACAATGGACACGAGAAGAATATACCAAATGTCTCGTTCAGCAATTTGAGGATATTTTAAGGTATTTGTAGAAAATGAGTGGATGAGAAAATCACGAGTACAGCTTTAGAGCTTGAAGTCATTTAATAGAATGTCCTGTGGGCAGACCACTTCATTCAGTCAATCTCTTATTCTTTAAGGGATGTTTTGGACATTTTAGCACAGAGAGCTGGACATTATCATACCTTGTGCTAAAACCAGGACACATTCTAAGCATATGCCAGCATAAAATGTCGTAGGATATGTTATGTATAATCCGTGTCAGTAATGTTGTCATTTTCTTTGCATCACACATCCACCTGTGTCATATGCATCCCGTTTTTGTATGTCGGCTTAGACCCTTCAAAATGAGTAAATTCCTGTTATCTGGCTGAATGCATAGTGCGACTCGTATATAAAAAAATAAATAATATTGCCCCACATGCTGTTAAGCAGCGGAACATACCCTAGGTGATATTGTAGACAAACAGCTTTGTACCTTGTTATGAGTGGAATGCATCTCTTTGGATGTCTTGCATATATATTGTTTATGTTAAATTTTTCATTGACACAGCATTCATTTGTAGTAGCAAACACCTGATTAAAACTCATTGCCTGTGCAGTAAATCTAGTAAGCTATAAACTGAGATATAGCATTCAGTTGATTTTGCATGAATGTTGCTTTTCCTGGAGAAGGTCTTGGAAAAATTACACCATTGGTTTGGCAGCAGTTTCACGTTCTGCTAACGATACTTTGAGATATTTAGAGTAAGCCTGCAACAGTCTGCTGTGATTAGCTGGACTTCTCTTTGCCTAATGGTTCTCTACATGAGTTTTCTCTGAAGTTTAACTATATTTCTGGGACAATGGAGAGTACTTTAACTTTGTGATTGACTTCAAAATGTCGACTGAGATAAGACTGAATGTTGGCTGAATGACCAACATTTGTTTTTGACGTTACATGACAATAAACAGATGGGTGAAAGCCAGTAATCTGTAACAATGGATTTGTCATAGGTGTAATATTACAGTTTTCTATATCGTTTCGTTTGAGCAGTGTAAACAACAATATTTTCATACCTTGAATGATTATAGACTGTATCCGTGCCGTTGTGTAAAACGTCTCTCTTACGAGAAAACAAATATTCCGTCATTGTAGTTTTTCACCTTGAATGAAAGTTATAGTAGAAGCAAATAAATAAAATAAACACAATATTTTCATTTAAATCATATTTAGATCGCGTTTTAGCTGCATATAATAAAAAAACATTCTTTATTTTCAGGCTGCGAATGAGGAGGAAAGACAAAAGAAACGTGCACACTATTTGGACCTTTTCAAAACCCCTAATCTCCGGAAAAGAACAGTGATTGTTTGCTGGCTATGGTTTACATATCTTTATTTAAAATTTTTATTAACCATAAACTGTTTCCTATTTATGAAATGGCTATAAAATATGTATAATATTTTAAGCCTAACTAAAAGATACAGTACTGAGAAGTGACATTCTTATAGGAAATTCATTGTGCAGCAATGTATTTGAAGAGAAAGTTAAAAATAACTACATACTTTACACAAGTAAAAAAGAGAGAAATATGAAGTGCGTCATCATTTATATAAAATAAGTTCTAGTAAATGTAAAGTGAAATAAAATTACTCAAAAACCTGGGTTAAAGTTGAAATGAAAGCCTAAGTTTAGTATTGTTAGCGTTGAAGTTGCTTTAAATTTGATTTATCAAAAATAAATAAAACGTTTTACTCAGAGTTAATTAACATTTGAATATCAAGATTTATTTTCGTTTGTACTTTGATAAAAGCACTCGTGATGCTGTTCAAAATAACAACTCAACTGACTCAAGTAATTTCACAGTAAGTTTAAATTAGATTGTGCAACATTGGAAAATGTAGTAAAATTAATCAGCTATCGATAGTTACTAGATTCTTTTAGGTCCGATAGATTTTATAAATTTCTTGTTATAGTACTCACGATATATCAACATATTTCCTTCAAATAAGGAGAATAATTCAGAAATTCAGTTGTGTATTTTAACACAAAAGAGCACAATATGTTACTTGTGCTCTGTCCACCACGGGGAGTCGAATCCCGGATTTTAACGTTGTAAGTGCGTAAACTCACTGTTGACCCACTTAGGAACTACATTTCAGCAAAAGCACGTTTTTGTCAAAGACGATTCCATCATTTACCTTATATCATCCATATTGAAATTTATGCAGTTGAGTGAAATACCAGTTATTAAAAAAAAATATTTTCAGCCCATGAATGCACTGCCAGAAAGGTTTATAGTCTTGTGTGTTTTTTATTTGATTAGTTGCGTTTACACTCATTTCGTAATTTATCCTTCTTTAGACATAAACACGTTTGTTTTTACGTATATATATATATATATATATATATATGACTATAAGTTTAAGTTTACAAAACGAAAAACATGAATAAAAAATTATAATTAAATGTAATTTCTTGCGACCTAATGTACAACATGTTTTATTATAATTCATTAAGTTACTGCATTCTTAAGACATACATTTCACATGTTTGTAATATCGTTGTACCTGTCATTACAATTGTCGAGATATTTTTTCCAGTTTACTTGGGCGTCTTGGTTGGACATTTCTTTATCAACAAGCTCAAAATATGGGAAGTGATTTCAAGATCTCAATGTCTATGGCAGCGGCTGTCGAAATACCCGCAATTTTAATTGCTCGACCGATTGTTGACAGGATAGGTCGACGTTGGACATGTTTTCTTGTGTTCCAAGCACAAAGCATTTTTCTTCTGACAATTCCTGCTGTACCTTCTGGTAAGCATAGTTCTAAAATACATATTTAAGAAAAAATGTTCAAAGATTTTGTTTTCGAATAAAAATTAATACTGGTAATGGAAAAGGTTGTTTTGATTTCAAAGAAAAGCATTTTAGTCAGTGATTTCTACATTGTTAATCAATTTTATTAGTGATTTTTACATTATTGATCCAATTTTATTGGTGATTTCTACATTGTTAATCCAATTTTATTAGTGATTTCTACATTGTTAATCCAATTTTATTGGTAATTTCTACATTGTTAATCCAAATTTATTAGTGATTTCTACATTGTTATTCCAATTCTATTGGTGATTTCTACATTGTTAATCCAATTTTATTAGTGATTTCTATATTGTTAATCCAATTTTATTTGTAATTTTTACATTGTTAATCCAATTTTATTTGTGATTTCTACGTTGTTAATCCAATTTTATTGGTGATTTCTACATTGTTAATCCAATTTTATTAGAAAGTAAAGAGTTATAATTCCCATTAAAATATACCACTTTATTCAAATCTAGTTTAAATCCGCGTTGGGATTTTAAGATAGATACATTATTTAAATATAAGTTGGTCTCATCTTTAAATCACTAATTAATTTACTTATGTGTTTAATATCTTAGGCTCGTGATGACTGTCTGGTTTTGTTTCGTTTAATGAATCCACGTGTCACACACAATTGTTTCAAATTCGTTTCTTTTATGTATCTATATCATTTTAACTTGATGCTTTCCTTTATCATTTCAGGATATCCCAACATCGTGTTAGCCTTGTCCTTAGCAGGCCGATTTGTGGGTGCATGTGGAAGTCACGTTGCCCTTCCAGTGTACGCAACTGAACTCTTTCCGACAATGTTGCGAGCACAAGCTAACAGTCTCCGATTGCTTCTCGGGGGTTTTGGAATGCTTCTCTCGCCTTTCTTGATGCATCTGGTATGTAATATTTATGTTTCTCTGTTCAATGCTCTATCAATCAGTACACATAACAAATAAATTGTCACGCGATATTTTGACGACTATTATAAACTTTAAATCTAAAATTACAAATCTGTCTACGATTTCTCAATAAAGATAAAAGTATAAAGTTCTGATACACGGGGGGGGGGGGGTCGAGCTGTGTAGAATGAACTAGGAATGAGAAACTTTTCACCAAATAGTATGTAATGAAATTGTAAAACATGTAGAAAACGTGGACAGCTAAAAATTAAAAATTATTAAAAGAAAACTGAGATAAAAATATATTAAGATTTTGACAAAGTTAAGACTAACTTGGTGACATTACCAGTTTCTGTGGAATATTCTTTGAAAAAAAAAGAGATTTCAAGAGGACTCTCAAAATACAGAAAGAACTTTTTATTCTTCAACTATATCCGTGAAGGTAAAAAGGGGAAAAAAACTTGTGTCCTAGTAAACGAGTTTTTATCGGATCCAACGATAGTGTTTTTTTTCTAATTCGATAAGATTAAAACTGATTTTAATATATTAATATCGAGTTGTTTTTGTAGTAAAATAATTTATGGTGGGTGCGGGCCCGGCATGGCCAGGTGGTTAGGGCGCTCGACTCGCGGGTTCGAATCCCCGTCACACCAAACATGCTCGTCCTTTCAGCCGTGGAGGCGTTATAATGTGTCGGTCAATCCCACTATTCGTTGGTAAAAGAGTAGCCCAAGAGTTGGCGGTGGGTGGTGATGACTGCCTTCCCTGTAATCTTACACTGCTAAATTAGGGACGGCTAACGCAGATAGCCATCGTGTAGCTTTGCGCGAAATCCATAACAAACAAACAATTCTTGAAATTCGTTGAAAGAGACGATTAGTAAACTCTGTCCCAGCATCGTTTTGAAGTTTACTACGTTTTCGACCCTGTTTTAAAATTTGTTTGAAAGATTTTACACATGTTGCACCTTTCTTATCGTTAAGTGGAACAACCCATGCATGTTTAGAAAACACGTGAGTAGATACTTAAACTGATTGTTATATTTATTTAGGTTAGAGAGATCTACCTAATCAGCCTCCCCTTGTTCATCGATCCCTGAAACGATAATTCGGTTTCTCGAAAACTTATATTTTACTGGTTTGTGTAATGTGTATGTATCTTTTCGACTTAACCAGTCTTTAACCTGATTTAGACTTACGGGCTTTTCTAGCGCTTTTACAGATCTAAATAAAGGCTGTACTCCACCAAAATTAACAGGATGTGCAAGTTACAATAGAAAGATTGTAGGTTTTATTAGACATTATTTTCTATGCCATCTACTTTTATTGAATTTTTTAACATCAAATTTGTCTCTAACAGTAGTAATAATTTGACCTTTACAACAGACGATGTTAATTCTTAGACGACTCCAGATATTAATAATCTTAAAAGGCTGACAACAGCCCATGACGATAGTCAAGACACAAATGAATGAATAGTAGAATAATACTTTGTTAAAAATGATCCCATTTCGATACAGTACGTTTAGGTCTTCTAACACTTGTATCATATTTCATATACTTCCATCTGTCTACATTTCCAACAACTTCTTAGGGAATATTCATATCTGATAATCGTTCTGCAAGACACAAATGAATGAATAGTAGAATAATACTTTGTTAAAAATGATCCCATTTCGATACAGTACGTTTAGGTCTTCTAACACTTGTATCATATTTCATATACTTCCATCTGTCTACATTTCCAACAACTTCTTAGGGAATATTCATATCTGATAATCGTTCTGCAGATTATTTCCATCCTGTAGGGTTAAAATATTTTCGTTTTCCTAGTATGTCGTTGATTAGGTCGATTATATTACTGTTTGGGACGAATCTTCCACTAATCGCCAATTCTTCACGATTATTTCACGTTAGCTCACCACTGAAACGTACCAAGTTTAGCAGAATTTCAGCTTTCTTTCTATATTAATGTAGAACACTGTCAATGACCTCTAAATTTTAATGTGTTGGCGATTCCATTCCAATTTTAACGGGTCCCATGGCTTGTGAATGAAAGGTCTGACGACATTGTTGCAGTTGGTTTATCATGTTTGCTTTATTATCTAAGGGCAATGTATCGTTTTGCATGACTGACTTCATATCATTATCTATAGAGTTTAATATTTTATGTACAGACCTTTCATAAACCTTGGATTAATAAAGAGAATGTACCAGTTCATCTGGATCGAGAACCACTCGTTTTGCTATATTCTTTAGATTCCAGCAGCTTTACCGATAGCCCGTCTTGCCAAACCACCAAATAATGAAAGTATTTGTGCTACCAGTAATGGTCAAAATTCTCCTTTCTGTATCAGTAAGTTTCTTTTCTGTTTAACTGATGTTTTCTGGACAGCCAACTCTCAATAATGATCTGTATTGTCTAAGATTCTGTTTTTGTATGTTCGTCATGGGAACGTTGCCCTTTAAAACGTTAAAGCGTATTCACAAATGCTCAAGATAAAGTCATTTTTAGCTCCGGCAATTATTCCTTTAATCTGTTTACGTGTAGCTTTAGGTAATGCACGGAGCATGTCTTGATATTGTTTAATTCTAAGTGTCATGATGAATAAATGAAAAGTGAGTACAACATATAAGAATTGTTTATTTATACATCCATTTAGATATAACATCTACTTTCTTCACACTACAATGACAATAATTGTTAATATGAAACGGACTTGATAGAGTAGATTTTGGAAGTTGGTCAACCTTGGGGCATCCACACAATTCCAGATTGTAACAAGGAATTTTCAGCAAACTTGTCAATATCTCGGATTTATCTTTCCCCCCTTTGTATAAACGGTTCTCTCTCAACAATCTAGCCACACTCCACAGGTAGGGATAGTCGATATTACCAGATTTCCATGGAATGTTATGAATGTACTATGTCACCCAGTTACACTGACGACGATCAACATCTGAGAAAACGGTTGTTTAAACAAAAACACCTTTACATATCCAGTGAACTAAACATTTGACGGCAAGTCCTTAATTACATATGGCTCATTCTTCAGGTAAAACCCTTCTATTTCTACTACTGTTGCTGTCATGTTAATAAATGAGTATATTTTCAGTTAACAGTGAACTAAACATTTGTCTGCAAGTCCTTAATTACATATGGCTCATTCTTCAGATAAAACCCTTCTACTTCTACTACAGTTGCTGTCATGTTAATAAATGAGTATATTTTCAGTTAACAGTGAACTAAACATTTGACGGCAAGTCCTTAATTACATATGGCTCATTCTTCAGATAAAACCCTTCTACTTCTACTACAGTTACTGTCATGTTAATAAATGAGTATATTTTCAGTTAACAGTGAACTAAACATTTGTCTGCAAGTCCTTAATTACATATGGCTCATTCTTCAGATAAAACCCTTCTACTTCTACTACAGTTGCTGTCATGTTAATAAATGAGTATATTTTCATTTAACAGTGTGCTAAACATTTGACTGCAAGTCCTTAATTACATATGGCTCATTCTTCAGATAAAACCCTTCTACTTCTACTACAGTTGCTGTCATGTTAATAAATGAGTATATTTTCAGTTAAACCATAGTTTTAACTTACTTTGGTACATACACTATAACTTCAGGAAAGAATCCGGTCCTCAGACGGATCTGTTCAGACGTTTGAGATTTCAAATCGATGAGTAAGTAACCATATGGTTGTTTCGTTGCATCTTGATAAGCTTAGTCAAAATATTTAGTACATGATGGAAACATTTGTCTTGCTAAAACATGCAACCGTGATTTGTCTCTGACATTTTTGAACAGAACAATATATTCAGAATTTCAACTAATATTACACATTTCTCTACCCTGATGGAATAGATTCTGTACAATATAGAATACTGATAAATTCAAATGGTGACTTACGCGTGTAAAAAGTTGAGACACTCGTTTATTTTCTCCATTTTCACTCATAAGATCGTCAATGATAAAAATATTTGGCTTATCAGACTGTAAATAATCATAAAAGTTTTCTGGTAAGCTTTCGACAAATTGAATGTTGGAAACGTTTTGTATTATTTTTGTATATAACTGTTGAAATTCAACATAAAACCATACAGTGTTTTCAGGAATAGGATAAGTTACTTAATGATGATAAATGAAAACTTTACTTACAAACTGTGATTTACCACTTCCTGTCGGACCTGACACTAAACACGTAAAAGGGTGTAGTAGACCGTTATCTATCTCGAACTCTAATGAAATTTTTTTTTTAATGTGACTCACCATATATAGAACACGTTTGAACGCATTTAGAAACCACCCCCCAAGGCCCTGCTCCTGCACATGCACCCTTTTCGAATTATAGACCACGGCGAGGAGTTAATTCCATGGGATGCAAAAAATTAGTATCCATACGGAAGGATGTTAAAGTCTAGAAGGATGTGTCGTTTGGTGTAAACTGGACGATAATTCTTCTATCCTTCCTTGTTGTAAATAGTCTGAAAATCTTTTTATGATTATTCACAGTTATAGGAGGCTGAAAATGACTGAATATATCAGTTATCACACAGTTCATTGATAAAAAGTTTAATTTTTCACCGTTGATATAATTATGGTTAAACCCTTTGATTTTACAGCATGACTTTCCATCGATGATTAAGTAACCGTAGTTTTTTTTTTTTTTGGATCACCACTGACCCATGATGTTATATAGCTATGTTCCTTAGGTACAGGTAGTTTAGCTCAATAAGTAAGTTTTCTTTGTGAGTACAAAGTTCTATAGAACGATTTATGTAGGTGAAGTAGTAGGATATTTTCCGTGATAGGTGGTTATTAGACCTTATGTAAGTGCTAAAAAACGGAAGATAACTGTTGGATTATATTTCATGTGGGAAATTATGACACTGGGCCTTAACGTGTTGAAGAATTTAATGAAACTGAGGAGCGTCTCTTTCCCATGTCGCCATAGACTGAAAATATCGTCGACGTATGCTAACCAGATTTCAAATTTCTTGGTGTAATATGTTCCACCATCAATAAAACTTTTCTTTATGCTTATAAATCGTTGTTTGTCTATCTAATATTATATTAGCATAATATAATTCTTTACTCAAATATTCAATGACATTATAGATAAAAATTTCTAATTCGCTTTTCGGATCCTTGCCCTTTGCCTAATTAAGTTCTTAAAATTATGTTAATCCTTCTTGGGTTTGTTCTTTCATGCGATTTAATTTTACAGATTATGCCGTTAAATATTTTCTTTTATACCGCTTTCAGTTAGTTTATTCTATAATGTTGCATGAGAAACCGCATCAATTTCTTTGCAAAAGTCAAATAATATGCAATGAAATTTACATTTCGTCTTAGAAATATACTTCTCTGTAAAACAATATAAAACTTGATCAATTATTGAATATCCTTTCCTGTATCTAGCCTGTTTTTTTTTTTTTGCATTGTTGAATACCCTTTCCTATATCCTGCCTATGTTTATCGTCTTTTTGAATACTCTTTCTTATATCTTGTCTATGTTTATCGTATTGTTGAATACTCTTTCCTATATCCTGCCTATGTTTATCGTCTTTTTGAATACTCTTTCTTATATCTTGTCTATGTTTATCGTATTGTTGAATACTCTTTCCTATATCTTGTCTATGTTTATCGTATTGTTGAATACTCTTTCCTATATCCTGCCTATGTTTATCGTCTTTTTGAATACTCTTTCTTATATCTTGTCTATATTTATCGTATTGTTGAATACTCTTTCCTATATCCTGCCTATGTTTATCGTCTTTTTGAATACTCTTTCTTATATCTTGTCTATGTTTATCGTATTGTTGAATACTCTTTCCTATATCTTGTCTATGTTTATCGTATTGTTGAATACCATTTCCTTTAGCTACCCTGTGTTTTTCATAGTGTTCTATTTGAATCTATCCAAATATTTAATAAAGATTTTATGATCTTCGGAAAAAAATTTCCCCATTACATTCAAATGTAATATTTCCCTGTAGTCATTGGGTCAGTTGATATCTTCTTTTTTAATATCGGACATTTTATCGCTTTACTCCATTTCTCATCAAATTCGTGACTATTCATAATTTAATTGAAAATTTTACGTAGCTTTGGACTTGTAGTATCAACATTTAATACAAACAATTTCTAGGTTATAACATCAATACCAGATGCCTTTCTACCTGGTAAATATTGTCATGCACTTAGAATTCGTCCCCCAGTGACTAGGAATTATACAACACATAATGCCTGCAAGAAAGCGCAGCATAAATGGCGTTCGTTAAAATGACAGAATAAGGAAAATTCAAGCAAAGGACATGAAAACAACCGAAAATGTTTGGTGGATCGCGCTAGTTATATTAAATATGTAGTGCAAGTTTTAGAATACTTTTACGGTCCTGATAGCACATGATGCAATTCGTTCTCGGTTAAATAACTACATCTGTTCTGGTCCTGTTTCAGGTTGTTAAACATTATTCAATTTTTCTAGGGTAAGTACCAAGATGTTCTTCCCTACGTAATAATGGGATTACTGGCTGCCGGTGGTGGAGCCACTGTGCTTTTTTTACCAGAAACAGTTGGAGAAGATATTCCCCAAACTTTGGAAGAAGCAGAGCTATTGGGCATGGAACAGCAAGTGGCATCGTGTAGTTGTTGGTCTCATAAAAACTACGAGAACCCAAACAAGGAACGTTCGTCTCCTAAAAACAAAATAAGCATGAGTGATATTTACGAAGACTTTGTTGATGTTGCTTTTTCAGAATGAAATAATTATGAAAAATTGTAATAATGATACAAAGAATTATAGAAAAGTGATAAACGAGAAATTTTATTTTATAAGTTATATCATTAAAATAGTATTCTGGAAACAGTCATTAATATACATGTACTTTACTATTTAAATTTATATAAAAATACTGTCATACCCATTGTAAAATGTCTCAGCTTAAATTAGAACCATATAATTTTGAAAGAAAAGGTCAACATTTGTGATTGACAGCACAGTGAGAGAACTAAGTTTAATGAATATACAGGGTGTCCCAAAAGTCTGGGCCCATAAGGGAAATAGACATTATATTCTTAAAGTTAAACAAACACTTTTAATGTCAGTTGTACATATTTCAGGTAAGAAAATCACCTGATTGGACAGTAATTGATATGTGTATGGCTGTTAATGGCATGAACTTTGAATAGTAAATAAATTACGAATAAATTGTGTATATTTCCCCTATGGGTTCAGACTTCTGGAACATCCTGTACATCAATAACTCACCTGCTTCTTACTGATTGCCAAAAGTTTTATCTAATGGTTATTAATACGTCAACTCATATTACTGGTGATAAAAAGTCATTTATTTTTAAACTGTTTTAGAATTAAACAACAGTTTTAGAATGTTGTTAATTTTTTTTTGGTTGATTATAAAAAACTAACTTTATGTGTAATAGAAAGAATGATTTATCCTGATGGTGATAGAGTCAATTACTTATGATTAGTGATCAAGAACTCCAGTTACTTTAGTGGTGATAAAGTAAGGTGATATGATTGGTGATACAAGAAGACCTTTCCTGTGATGCTACAGCCACGAGTAAGATTAATGGTGCAAGGAAACTACTTATTCTGATAGTGATACAGCGAACTGTTAAGGACTGGTGATATAGGAATACCTTTCATGAAACTACAGACGATGAATACAATTTAATATGGAAAGAGATGGCTTTATCTGGTTGAGTTAAAGCCAACAGTTTGGAGGTTGTCCGATTCTGAAGATGACATAGCCGAATAATTAATATTACAAACGCAAGGATATATATTATGTTAGTGATTAAGCAAATAACTGTTTATGATTAGTGATGCAAGGAGTCAAATAGTTCTGGTGCTAATACAGTGAACCGCTTATGACTGGTGATACGAAAAGACGGTTTCCTTATAGTGATTCAGCCAAGCGCTTACAACTGGAGATCCAAGGGGCGACTTTTTTTCTGGGAGGGGGCTAACTGTTAATGATTAGTGATGTAAGAGGATGAAATATTCTTGATACAACACAACACTTATTTTTAGTGATACAAAGAAAGATCTATTGGGGTGAAAATAACTTAATAAGAATATTTATTCTGTGGTAGAACATCAAACTGCTCATGATAAGTAATTCAATGAGATGATTTATTATGGAAGTAATACAGCCCATACAAAAATGATGCCTGTTTTTGCTGGTAATAAACCTAACCACTTATGCTTAGTGATGTAGTGAAAATTACTTATTTTGGTGGCGATACAACTACATTCTGATAATAGCTTGTACGTCTGTTTTACTGGTGATAGAGCAGAGAATAATAATGAGAGATTCAGTCTGTTTTAAATACCACAGCCAATCGCTTATGATTAATGATGTAAAGAAACAAGTTATTATTTTCTATCGTTCTTTTTTCTAAAGCGTTTTGTTAATCTGAAAGGAACGGAAGAGTTAGGTGTAGTATGTAGAATGTGTTGTAAATAAACTTCGTCTGAAGAATTCCAAATGAAATGCTGTTATTGCACGTTTTAAGATTTTTAATATATTCAAAAGCTGAATTAGAGATTTTTTTTTTAATTAATCTTTAATCTTTATGCATTGACCCACAAATTTAAAAGATCTTAGATAATAACCACATCATTTTTTAAAACTTTTTCTGAATTTAAAGTATATATTATAATTTCAGCATCAGGAAAGAATAATAAATCTAACAAATGGTTTTAAAGTCTAGTACAAGTATATCTAAAATAAATGATTTAGAAATTAGTTATGTCGAATGGAATCTACCACTTAAATTTGTGATTTGCTTACCAACAACACAAAAGCGTAGTCTACGCTGGCAAACATTCTGTGTGTGAGCAGCCTTATATGTAATTGATGTTGAGAAACAGTGAAATAAAAATGAAACATCATTTAGTACATATTATCAAATATTTGTCTTTCTTTTATATTTTATAATAAACAGAAACTTCTATATACACGCATATATATATATATATATGTACGAGATACTTATAAATGACGCTGGTTATTTTTTGTCCCTACTTACCTAATTCAAGATTAATAAAGCTGTCACTGTATTTTACTATTTAAAAAAACATTTTTAATTGATTGTTAGAATAAAGAGTGTCTTAATAATAAAATTATGTATTTGGTTCTTTTTGGACAATACTTTGTTTCACGAAACAACAACCACGTACCATCTGGACATCAACATTAATTTATTAATATATGTATATGAATAACTAATTTAATTATTTCTCATTAGGTCAATCCGGTAAAACGTAGTGTATGTATATACTTCTTACTTTCAATAAACTCGAAGTTAATGCCATCTATATTATTAAAGTTATATACAGGGGGTTTCTCCATATTAGTTGTTTGTTTCTCGCAACAAGTTTTTCAACTGTTATATAAAATCCCTCTCCCTCTTCAGGCCAAATTGACCTCTTCAGCTTTGGAACTGTTTTAACCAAGAAGTGTAAAGAGAGTTGAATACGTTGTACTTAAACGACATTGAAGACTCTCCACGTCGTTGAAGTTCATGTCGTCACGTCTATTCATGCACTGTCTGACGGCCGCACATATTAACAATAGCTTTGCAGTGTAGTTTACATTTCACAAGGCTCTAGCAAGTGTGTAACATCCAAAGCATACCACTCCTCCAAGTGTGCTTCCCATTACCCATCTACTATACAAAGAAGACGTTTTTCCAGTGCCAGTTTTAACAGTTCAACTGCACAATAATCCAAGATGCTGTATCTGATAGCTTGACTGGCATATATTCGCCTGAGATACCACGAATACTTGTTTCATTCCCCAACTGCTCGGGGTATACGATGGTTGAATGGTTATATTGTGAAAGCGACTTGTGTCACATTTCCAGACATAGATACGAGGACAGTGTTGCCAGTGACCTTTCTATTCGTGGATTCTTACTTGTTTCAATATGCTGCAATTTGCTCACCACGACTATGGTAAGACTTGTTGCAGTTATTTTTCTAGCTTGTTCTGGTGCCCCAAGTTGATCTAAATACCTTTCTTTTCAGATGTCATTAAGTACTAAGGATATTACCGTCTTCGAAATTCTAATCCCCTGATCTGTACACATCTTTATAATCTAAGGGTATGAATATTTTGGTCAAAAAGGGCTGTTACATATCCTAACCAAAAGCGATCAATATTCGTGGCATCATACTGCCTGCAATACACCAAACAATTTCAAAATGTGTAGCTCTGATATATTCAATTCCACCTGGACCGAAGGCAGTAGAAAATATACTTAATTGTTTCTGTTTAGTAGTAAATGTTATTTGATGATCATTATATATTTGATAATTGAAAATGTGTATTATGAAAAAGTGATTGTAATTACGGAGCTACTGTTCTATCTTTACTGACGTAAGACAAATCACGCATGCTTTTTGCACAGTTTCATTTGATCAGATAAAGAGAGTAGTGAATTTAATAAGTAAAAAAGAAATTACAGTTCTGTACTAAAACACTTTACAAGTTATTCTCGTTCGAGTTTGATTATTGAAATTGCGAACTTCTTGGGAATCAAGCTAACCACAAGTAACAATTAATGTTCAGGAATGCCGTTCTGAAATAGAATCCTGAAAATTCTGATTAAATACAAACCTTTTTTTATGTTTAGAGTATTACAATAACCTTGATTTTAATTTCAACACTTAGTGATTAGCCTTTCAGGTTATTCAAATATTTTGTTAGGATATGGCCCTTTAGACTGCTTAAAAAGTACGTTATGATGGCCTTGTGCAAGTCAAGAAAAATATATACTGTAAATGTTCATTGTTCTGTTAAATGTTCAATGTTTGCTCTTTGGACAAATACTTTCTTTCACGTTTTGCTGATAATTTACACAACTCAGCAAACAAAGGTGATACTGCTACAAAGTGTAACTACTGATTTCACCTTTCCGTAGCAACTAAAGTACATATATTTTTAAGACTGCTTTCATTATTCATATCTACTTGTCAGTAGCTAGAAGCAGGTCTTAGATCTGTTCAAAGAAGTAGACATGTATCAGGCTTTCACCCGCGGAAAGGCAACAAAGTTGTTTTCTCTTTTACCATGACTGAAATTAAATTTTTGTTATTATTAAGTTTTCATTGATCATGATCAGGTGGTTTTACTTATTCAATCAGAAAAACTGATAAAGAAAGGATAAAATGGAAGTTTCAAATTTAAGTATGTATAAAGTGCTTTTTAAATAGTTCGTGAAATGTTGCAACTAACTGTAAAAAAAAGAGAAATATGTTGGTTGATGTCGGAATTAATAATGACAGAGAGATCATATCTTTTTTTCTTTTCTTTCTGTTTTGTAATGGACAAAATTAAGATTAACCAAAGTGTCAACGCTCCTCGGCAATTGAAATAGTATTTGTAATCCGAGTTTTTGATTTTCTTTCGGTTACATTATTAAGATACATGTGCTAGGGCTTTCTTATAGACATGCGAATTTTACGCACGTCATAATGATTTGTAGCTAAGATTATTCCTGGTGAATACAGCATTTTATAATACCAACTTTTAATTTAGATCAAATCTGTAAACCGAGATTAGTTTTCCAATTAACTACATTCACCTAAACTAACGATTTCGCAGAAACAGTATTAAGGTTTTCATAACCAGAAAATTTATAGCAAACTTTACTTTCTGATTATTAACCTCCAGGTTACAAATTTGTTCTCAGTCCCAATGGGGAATTTAAGTCGGAACAAAAGATAATTGCGTTACGTATT